CGGGTTTCGATACCCGTGATGGGCAGAGCACAGATAGCCCATTGTTTAGCTTTGTGCTTAATTACAAACAAATAAATCTTTATGAAAAAAAGATTTACGTATTCAATTTTATGAAATTCATGAATTCATTAATTCCTTATTTAAGAGAAAGTTTAGTCAGAAGAGACAATACTCGATTAAAAACTTTTCTGGGCTTGATCTGCCTGTGTGGTTGAGGACGACTTTTCTAACTGAGGCCGAATGCAGACCAACGATTAGCGTGCGGACTGTGGATATATGGTTCTGTTGTTCGTGCCTCATTACAGCCAAAAAAACAAAAAACACTCTCTTCTATTTTGAGCCATGGGTGCATTATAATAGTGACGGTCAACCCCCATTATTTAGTTTGACAAGAGTTGCCCAATAACTGGCGATAGATGACGTCGACTTCCCTCTAGTCATTGCACTCCACTACATTCTTCTTTGTTCTATAAAATCCTTACACTCCATTACATCATTACACTCCACTACATTCTTCTTTGTTCTATAAAATCTTTACACTCCATTACATCATTACACTTCACTACATTCTTCTTTGTTCTATAAAATCCTTACACTCCATTACATCATTACACTTCACTACATTCTTCTTTGTTCTATAAAATCCTTACACTCCACTACATTCTTCTTTGTTCTATAAAATCCTTACATTCCATTACATCATTACACTCCACTACATTCTTCTTTGTTCTATAAAATCCTTACACTCCATTACACCATTACACTCCACTACATTCTTCTTTGTTCTATGAGATCCTTACACTCCATTACATCATTACACTCCACTACATTCTTCTTTGTTCTATAAAATCCTTACACTCCATTACACCATTACACTCCACTACATTCTTCTTTGTTCTATAAAATCCTTACACTCCATTACATCATTACACCCCACTACATTCTTCTTTGTTCTATAAAATCCTTACGCTCCATTACATCATTGCACTCCACTACATTTTTCTTTGTTCTATGAGATCCTTAAAGAACCTAATCTAACTTCATACTCTATATCTTGATTGTTTGTTTTTGTAATTTTAAGCAATAAATAATCTGAAATCCCTCAAATGTTTTGGATTTTATTTTGGACTCGCTAGGTGTTAGCATAATGTGAAATGACATATGAACATATAACTTACATTATTTCTTTAATTCTTTCAGATAAATATTGTTTCTTAATTTGTCACATTTTAATGTTGTTAATTTCGTTTATATGTCCAGAATAGTTTAAATGTTCAAATGTCATATTAATTACCACAATTTTGATCATTGTTTTATAACGAATATAGAATCCCTTAATCACAAACAAAACTGTATTTCCCACTCTGCATTAAAAAAATACAAAAAATTTACCATATCTAATGGTCGTTTTTTTCTGTTTTTAATTTCAAGTTTCCACTACAACGTTACCACCATCTTCGTCAGATGAACTTTCTCTCACTACTGAATTGATAACTCCAAAACCGGAAGTAACAACTCTATCCCAGCAAAGTTCTTCCTCTCCATATGTCCAGTCTAGCAACCATAACAACATTCGGGATTATAGCTACATCCAGAGGTCACTAGAAGATGGACGTTTGCACCCAGTTATTACGGCCGTGAGGTCTTCTTATTTGAGGTCTGAAGATGGTAGGTTAACAGATTCAACAACACTTAAAAACCTGGTTAGATCACCAGAGGACAGTACGATAACTAGTAACATAACCCTAATTAAAGACCTTACACGCGAGCTGGACGATGGGTTCTCACTTCCTAGAGGGATGAAGAAACAACCAGATGTACGAACCCCTGCTGAGATGACCATGATAAGAGAAGTACAAAAGGCGGTGGGAGATGAAGGGATCTCTCAACACTTAACAGTGGTTAAAAACGTTCCTGAGTTATACCATCCTAGACTGTTCTATCCAGCATGTCCCTCAATGTTTGAGACAGGGACCATTTACAACTACTCATCTCTAATGACATCCGAATAACGATGTAATACGAACCTGGAATCACCACTGGTAACGAAGTAGAAAAGAACCCTGAAGAGACATTTCTTTCCCTAAATTAAAGCATCATAAAGACGATTAAAGTGTTACTAATAACTTTCCCAGACGATAAATACGTTAAAGCACGGTTCTGGAATATATTAGACTTCTCGTTTCAAATGATAAAATACGGCAATGATATAAATCTAGTCGTTACACATCCAGTCGTCATATAACAATAATTGATATCCAGTAGTTACACAACAATGATGTATATACATATATACACAACAATTGTACCGATCCAGTCTTCACAAATAAATAATATACATCCATCGTCACACAGCAATGATGTATATATATATTGTAACCATATAACAATAATATACATTCAGTTGTCACACAACAATGATGTACTAATACATCCAGGTGTTCAAGCAAACGATAAGGACAATTTAAGTGTACTTTAACAAATATACAAATGGATTAGACAACTACATCAAACCACCATTTTTCAATCACGCTTATAAAAATTAACTTAGTAACACAAATCTAGAAGTTGATATATCCATAAACATTGATCTTCCACAAAATCAGAGGAACATAAACCTTTGTAATTATTTAACCTTATAGATTGTTTTCCCTTTCTCAATATGACAACATTTTAGCGTACAGTTATCAATACGGGTATAACCTCGGTAATACTGTATGTACATTCACTAGATCAAAGTTCAAATTGTTCAAAGCTTTAGTTTTAAACAATAATTATTTTAGTATTTCATACACATAAATCAACCAGTTTTATTGTAGTTTTATCTTGTACGAGCATGAGAATAGTTTAAATTGATGAACCATGTTAATAGAGCTTTTCAATCTGTCTATTTGTGTGTTATTGTTGCTCTTTGTTAGCTTCTACTGGATTTATTCGACAGAGAATAAGAAGAACGAATGAAGTTTTAAACTTAAATACAGATCTTGTTAATTAAATTACATTAACAACGTCTCTTCATCTGGACCCTTTAACTGTAACGAGACATCAGTTTGTAGATGCATGCTAGTGTTACTCTCAAACCACATTTACATATAAATATAAAGTCTGAATTTTTCTGTTGTCCAACACAAGTCGTACCAATGACATTTTCTATTCAATTCCACAAGTTGTCAGCTGCATGTTTTTTGTTTTTTAAAACTTAATCAAATGTAAGGAATTACACCTGACTCTTGGCTGATAGTACCACTTACCAATGACGTTCAAGATGGACTTTTGATTGCTAGAGCTTCAATCTGTTGCTGACGAGTTATGGCGTTGTACAAAAGGCCACCTAGGCAGTAACTTTTAGAGGCCAAGAACACAAATAATAAATACTAATGGTAATTAAAGAACACAAACAATAAATACTAATGGTATAATTAAAGAACACAAACTATAAATACTAATGGTAATTAAAGTACACAAATAATAAATACTAATGGTAATTAAAGAACACAAATAATAAATACTAATGGTAATTAAAGAACACTAACAATAAATGCTAATGGTATAATTAAAGAACACAAACAATAAATACTAATGGTATAATTAAAGAACACAAATAATAAATACTAATGGTAATTAAAGAACACAAATAATAAATACTAATGGTAATTAAAAAACACAAATAATAAATACTAATGGTAATTAAAGAACACAAATAATAAATACTAATGGTAATTAAAAGACACAAACAATAAATACTAATGGTAATTAAAGAACACAAGTAATAAATACTAATGGTAATTAAATAACACAAATAATAAATACTAATGGTAATTAAAGAACACAAATAATAAATACTAATGGTAATTAAAGAACACGAATAATAAATACTAATGGTAATATTCTATGTTTATATTTGTTAAATAAAAATAATTCTTTCTGGAGTAAATATTTATTTATTGGTAGCCCGTAGATCTGATTGATGAACTAAATAATCAATATATGTTTTTTGTTTGTTTGTAATTAAGCACAAAGCTACACAATGGGCTATCTTTGCTCTGACCACCAAGGCTATCGACACCCAGTTTCTAGATGTGCAAGTCCGTCGACATACCGCTGTGCCACTGGAGGGGGGGGGGGGCACTATGGGTAATACATCTGATGGCCCACACTAACATTTATAATAGATGTAGAATCCAGGTGATCGTGGGACGATCACGGCTTAGTGATTAGCGGTCCATGCTGTACATCTAAGGGTCCAGAGCTCGCGTCCCTTTGCCGTAAAAACGCGCCCCGCAAGTTGTGGTTGTGGGTACGTTCTCAAGGTGACGCCCGAATGGCACTGTTCAATTAGAATATCCAAATATTTGGTGGCGAGTGCTTTTGCCTTGTAGACGTCTGTGAAATATGCTCCTCCAAAGTTGTTGTGGGCTAAGCCCTATAAGGTAGAAAATTCCGTTATGTCGTGTTATGTATGTCGGCTGAAATATCATATAAAGTATGTACTTTGAGGATTTTAATATTATGTGCGATCTAAGTCAGAAATGGAAATGTACAAAGTGTAAGACTCATCGCCGTATATCTTTCTCAGACATCGCGACCGTTATGGACACAAATATGAACGGAATTAATCAAATTAATTCTCAGGCTCAAGTACAAGATTATGGTCAAGTAAGTGACTTATTAAATAATGTGCGTACATTAATAGATCAAGATAGTAATTAGCTATCTTTTCGAGAGGAATTTGCTAGCAAAATTGAAGCTAAATTGGGACATGTTTTAAAAGAAAATATTCAATTGAAGGCGGAAGTTAAACTGTGTCCTAATGAAGTAGAAGAATGCAGGCATGAGTTGGCTGTTTTAGATGGTAAAAATGTAGCCGTTTCAGTGTTAACAAGAAACAGTGTTTTGGATGTTAGTTCCTCGAACGTTCCTAGTTTAGGGTTGTATTCTGCTGCCGTTAAGACGAAACATCAATATGTTAGTAATATTCAAACCAACAGATCGAATACTGTACTCAAGAAGGATGTGAATATAATCAATATCGAATATTAATATAATAACAATTATGGGAGCCCTGCATACTCTACCACTGGCAATGAAGTTCAAACAGACGTTGAACTTCTGAGTTGAAAAAGAATTTGTGATGGTGCAAAACAGAATAAAACAATCACGTCGACGACGTATTGTCACTGGTGACATTAAAGATATATTCAAATCAGCATATGGTGATAGGAAAAGACTGTATGTTGGTCGATGTGCTATTAACACAACTGAGACAGATATTGAGATATTTCTGAGAAATAAAAAGCGGCTTCAGTGTTAAAAATTGTGAAAAGCTGAGTTCAGAAAGAATGACTAGATCAACGTCCTTCTGTGTGGAAATTGAATGGTTCTGCGGACTTGTTAGGTATTTTTTTCAACCTAGAATAAATTTAAAACATATTACAGAGGAGTCTATAAATAGGACAGACAATGAATAATAGGCTTAAATTGGTGTGTTTAAATGTCAGAAGTATTAGAAATAAGACTGGTGATGTATTGACTCAATTTATTTGTTCTGAGCTAGTGCGTGATGTCTTATTATCCCTCGAGTCATGTTGTTGTGATGAAAAGCCTCCAACCCCATTATTTAACAATAATATCAACTTTTTTGTCAGACTTTCTGGGCATGGAGGCGGTATTGTCATTTATTTTCGTCCTGGCTTGAAGGATAAGTTTAATATTAACTCTGTTATTGTAACTGATCCTATTGATTTGTGTAGTTTTACTATTAATGAAATTTACACATTTTATTGTACTTCACCTTCTGAAAACTGGTACGATTTTACGGATATACTTGGTGTACTAGAAGACAATATATATATTACGGACATACTTGGTTTACTAGAAGACAATATATATATATTACGGACATACTTGGTTTACTAGAAGACAATATATATATTACGGACATACTCGGTGTACTAGAAGACAATATATATATTACGGATATACTTGGTATACTAGAAGACAATATATATATATTATGGACATACTTGGTTTACTAGAAGACAATATATATATTATGGATATACTTGGTTTACTAGAAGACAATATATATATTATGGATATAATTGGTGTACTAGAAGACAATATATATATTATGGACATACTTGGTTTACTATAAGACAATATATATATATTACGGACATACTTGGTTTACTAGAAGACAATATATATATATTACGGACATACTTGGTTTACTAGAAGACAATATATATATTACGGATATACTTGGTGTACTAGAAGACAATATATATATTATGGATATACTTGGTGTACTAGAAGACAATATATATATTACGGACATACTTGGTGTACTAGAAG